TTGAGGAGAAAAATATATAGCACAAAAATGATTATTTTGAATTTTAATAAGAAACATATCAATGTTTTTAAAATTTAAATAATTCACCTTTCAAATGTTGTTTTTCTAAGTTTGCAGCATCTGTTCCCTTCCTTGCCCAGCCCACATACCCTTGTTTTCCAATACAAAATTAAGACAGGGCTTCAGAATGCCAAATATAACTAAAAAGTGGAACTCAAATTAAAAAAATAACAATAGCTATCACAGCAAGCACAGTTAGGTGGAAAGTATCCTGGAACAGGAGTCCAAGGGTATAGGTTTGATTGTAGACTCTGATACTTATGCAATCCTGTGCAAGTCACTATCTCCCCTGACCTTGGATTCATCCTTTGTAAAATGAGAAATCAGGACGAGACAGTCTCTAAGGTTCTTTCCTGATCTAAATCCTTAGATCATAGGACAGTAGCAAAGAAATCTCAAATGAGCTTGGAAGGTATAAGGAAGAAAGACAGCTCTCTCTTCATTAGCCTTTACCAAATCCTTAATATCTAGCACATATCATGTTTTCTTTTCATCTACTAAAATTCCCCCAACCCATCCCCCCAAAATGCCAAAAAACTGAGATTTATGGAAAACAATAATTATCAGAAGAAATACACATGGTTTCGAATCAAACATCACCAAATGAAAAAACAATCTGAGTGCTCCACATAGTGGGTAACATTCTAACAATGACAGTATAAACCTCCTTTAGCAATAATTTAGAGAAACACTGCAACAGTTTAAGAAATGAAAAGGCTTAAATTTTTCAACATTATAGAAATGCCTCTTATGCAAAAATATGTGGGGCATACTAATGACTTTAAAAATAGTTAAATGATTTAAACTGTTCTTAAAATGCACTTTTAGTCCATTCACTCTAACAAAGAGGAAAAGTAAGCTTAATCAGGATAAAGGCCAACTGAGGCAGGCTTTCTTGGATCAAAGACCATGGGTCCATTTCTCTAACAGTTCCTGCTGCCATCAGAGGCATGTAAAAGGGCTACATTTCCAGAGGTGGCAGCATAAGTGATTATTCCAAAATGGAGATGAGAAGATGCTCAGATCTCTGCACAAAGGAAAGCCTCTCTCGGCAAAGGAAATGCTAAGAAAGTGCCTGGGCACAATGAACATCATTACTAACAAGGGGAGGAAAGGTAGAAAATCTAATGGTTAAAAAAAAAATTAATCTCATTTTTCTCTCACTAACTTCTGTATCCAGGAAGACTTGATCTAGGACTACAGCAGCCCCTGATGATTCAAGACTTCCAAGAATTTGACTATAGCACAAAATAACAATTGTCTCAGCTCCTACAACAATCTAAATGCCTGAAAAGTATTCAAGAAGTGATGATGTAGACAAAAGGTATCGGTTAGACATCTATCTTCCTTGAAGTATCAGGAAGATCTTTATATTTTCAGCTGACCACAACTTTTGAAACAGTCGCCAAATACAGAGTCCAAAAGCTAGTCCAAAAGTTAAGTGGCTACAGAAAGTTCAACACTGGAATGGAAACAGGAAGTACGAATGAGGTCTTACAACTCGTTTATACAGCACTTCACAGTGTGCAAATTATTTTACATCTCATCTCCTCTGATCATGACAACAACCCTATGAAGTAAGGACAACAGCTATGATCATTTCTGTATTTTACAGATGTGGAAACTGAAGCTTAGCAAGATTAAATGACCTACCCACAGTAACACAGCTAGCAAGCATTGGAAGCAGAAGTCTAATTGGTATCTTTCCCCACACCAGTCCTAGCATTCTTTCCACTGTACCAGGCTACTTACCTAATTATTTTTCAGGGCTAAGGAAATGAAGCTGTATCATATAACAGGGGGAGTTACATTCTATCTCAGTGATTTTCCAAATGTGGTCTGGGGGCAACCTGTCAAGAGGTTCTGAAGGTCAAAACTACTTTCAAAATAATACCAAGATGCTTTAATTTCTAATACGGTAAATATTGATAGATATAACTCATACAAACAAATGCTTTCTAGAAGGTTCTCAACAACTTTTCAAGAGTGTAAACAGGTTTGAAAACCCTTACCTCTGTACCTCAAAACCTCTGTGTCCTCATCCAACCTCTCTTCTTTTGTTCTAGTTTGAAAAGATGAGACTGGGGCAGCTAGGTGGCACAGTGAATAGAGCTCTGAACTGGGAGTCAAGAGGACCCGAGTTCAAATCCCCCCTCAGATACTTACTAGTTGTGTGACCCTGAGCAAGTCTCTTAACCCCAACTGCCTCACTAAAAAAAAAAAAAAAAAGATGAGACAGCTTTCCTGCTTACCAAGAGTAAACCTTCCACTTATATATTTGATTCCTATGTCCTCTGGGAGTTTGCTTAGTTAAAGACTCTCATCTTCAATTTCTATCTACTTGTCCCACATCTCCTTTATCCTTAAAAAGTAAGACCTGTTTACCACCTCACATTTATCAGATTGGCTAATATGACAGAAAAGGAAAATGATAAATGTTGGAGGGGATGTGGAAAAATTGGGGCACTAATGCACTGCTGGTGAAGTTGTGAACTGATCCAACCATTCTGGTGAGCAATTTGGAACTATGCTCAAAGGGTTATAAAACCATGCATACTGTTTGATCTAGCAATACTGCTCTAGGTATATATCCCAAAGAGATTTTTTTTAAAAGGAGGAGAAGGGAGACTTATTTGTACAAAAATATTTATAGCAGCTTTTTTTGCTGTGGCAAAGATTTGGAAACTAAGGGGATGCCCATCAATTGGGGAATGGCTAAACAAGTTGTGGTACGTGACTGTAATGGAATATTGCAGTGCTATAAGAAATGATGAGCAGGATGATTTCAGAAAAACCTGGAACAACTTACACGAACTGATGCAAATTGAAGTGAGTAGAACCAGAACATTGTACATAATAATAGCAATACTGTATAATGACTACCTAAATGAATGACTGAGCTATTCTCAGCAATACAACAACCCAAAGACAATCCCAAAGGACTCATGAAAATGTGATCAGCCTCCAAAGAAAAAACTAATAGGCTGAATGCAGGTCAAAGCATACTATTTTTTTTACCTTCTGTAATTTTTTTACCTTCTGTAATTTTTTTCTTTTTTTTTTTCTTTTTCCTTTGGGTCTGTGTCTTCTTTTACAACATGACTAATATGGCAATATATTCTGCATGACCAAACATGCATAACCTATATCAAATTGCTTACTGTCTCAGGAAGGGGAGAGGTGAGGGAGGGAAAGAGAAAATTTGGAACTCAAAAAAAGTTTTAAATGAATATTAAAAAAAAAGAAAAACAAATAAAAGAAAAAAAAAGAACTCTTAACCTTAACCTTAATATTCCTTCAAATTAGAATCCTCTCTCTTTCCTTTCTTTCTAGCCTATTCTCACTTTCTAAATGATCTTTTTTCACATCCTTGGCCAAGTGATTTTCATAATGATCCGTTCTGATATTTTTTTCTACTTTTTTTTTTTTTGGCTAGGCAATGGGGTTAAGTGACTTGCCCAGGGTCACACAGCTAGTAAGTGTTATGTGTCTGAGGCCGGATTTGAACTCAGGTCCTCCTGAATCCAGGGCCAGTGCTCTATCCACTGTGCCACCTAGCTGCCCCTCCCCCCCGTTCTGATCATATTATTCTACTCAAAAATTTTTAGTGTCTCTCCAAAGTCTACCCAAGAAGAAAACAACTTCTAATCTTGGCATCCAAGGTCCAACACACCTTTCCTTTCATCACATCCTTCTCTTTGTATATGCTAGGTTCTAGCAAAACAGAATACTTTATGATGCATTTTTATCCTATCTTGTCTCCACGCATTTGCTCAAGTTGTCCTCTGCATCTAACGTGGGCTGCCTTTATCTTGTCCAGCTGATATCTCTCCCTTCCTTCAAGGCCAATCCATATATAACCTCTTCCAATAAGCCTTCCCTGATGACTTCCTTAGATGAAAGTGATCTTTCTCTCATTCATAGCATCTCATAGCACTTTCCATGTTGTTCTTATTTGTACCTATTCCACTTTAAGCTTCTTAAAGACAAGGTTTACATTTTACATGAAAAAAGTTTAATTCCTTGAGGGCAAAGATTACATTATGTTTCACGTTAATATACTGAATGCCTAGCATAAGGTCTTGCACATAGGAGTTACTTGATAAATGTATAGTTCGATTTTAGCTACATATCCATACTGATGATTCAAAAAGAAATTTGCTAATAGGCCATTTTCAGTTCTGCAGAAAATATTTTCTTCTCAATATGCTAGAAATAGGAATCCTAAGATGACAGTCTTTTTATCATTTTTCATCACAAGAGAATAACATGAAAGATTTCAGGCTTAGATTTTCAACCAAAGAAGAGTCTTTCAACACAGGCAGGCCACTGTTGTGGCATCAGCATAAAGTTAGACAAGAATGAAAACAGAAAGCATCTTATACTTGTAATTAGGGAAGTTGTAAAAAGGTTCTCTTTACTACATAGCTGTTCTGTAATTTCTTCTGCCAGAAACTTATGTCATTTCTGTCTAGGATTTGGAAAGGTAAGAAATAACCTGTGAAAAATTATTCGTTTTGCAATTCCTGAAAACCAATCATGCAACAGATGCAAACTTTACAAAGACAGTAGTTTCTTTCAAGTGATTTTTGTTTTTGCATTGGATAACACATTTCATGCTATATGCACAAGCATATAGATGTACTAAAGTACTAAATGCTCTTGAATATTCTATAAACTTCTGTGCTGTGCTGAGTTACAAATGGAAAAGATCCAACAGGAAGAAGATTTCATAAGTCTTAACATAAACGTAATAAATACCCAAAGTAACTTGAATGCTTATTTGCCTCTCACTCCTAATCACACAGGACAATTTTTAAAGAAATCAAACTAGGCTAAACAACTTCACTCACATTATTTCCAGCAAAGTACATGATAGCAATGCTTGAAAAGAATTATCTGAAGACAAAATGTCATTTTAAGTTATGATCAGGTCTTACTTTCAAAATATTTTGAGTTTCATTCCACTTGTTTGTCCATTCTTTGGTCAATTCTTGTACCTGAAAATAAAATAAATATTTAATGAATGTTCAGTGAAAAAGAATTTCTGCGACTCTCTCATTACCCAACAAAATTTCCAAACCCATGACAGCTTATGATGGTATACATTATAATTTTTAAGCAAAATACCCCAACTATTTCCCAAAAATAATTCAAAGGATTTTATGTCATTCTATAAATGTTCCTTTATGTCAAAGAGCTAACAAAATAAAAAATCTGCAAATGTGGATCAGAGTTTTAAACTCTGCACTGTACAAATGAAAGCAGTTTTCATGGATATTAATCAGCCTTAGATAATCAAGGCTGGCAGCATCCTATTTAATTGTTAATTTTGCTTGACTATACTTTAGGTACTAGGAAATAGTGATTTACTTTTCTTTATAATAAGACATAATGATTAGACAATCACAGACTGCAGTTTTCTTTTAGAGATGATCTGCTCCAGTCACTAATTAATAGATTTTCTAAGTCTCAATACTGTCTTTTTTTTAATTTTATGACTCAGTTCTATTTTAATAAAGATAGACATGTAATAAGATCAACTTCCTTCCATAATTGTGAAATATATATCGGATATACATTTTGAAATGTCTTATGACCTGACACACCAATATGCAGCAGCCCTGCATAATGGGTCAGTGGTGAATTTGAAGCCAGAAAGACAGGATTCAAATCTAGCCTCTAATACTAGATTTCTGATTCTAAGCAAGTCATTTAACCTAAGCCTCGAGCAACTTTCCAGAACTATCTACCACGGCTAAGTTGTATTAGTTGAAAATTTTGTTTTTCAAAGTAAATGAGGATATTTTGATAGTCCAATGTAATCCAACAATGTAATAACCCAATCATTTAAAAAACAACTAAAATAGACCAAAAAGTACAAATGTAATCCCTAAATTAGGTCCTAAAAAACACAGGAAAAAACCAGAAGGGGAGAATATACTATGCAGATAAAACATCCACAAGAAGGGATGAACTAGAGGAGCTCAGAAGCATTTATGAAGACTTCATCTTTTCAAAATTTTGTTCACCTCTATCTCTGCTGCCATCCCTCCTTTCCTCACTCTTCTTTTTCAACCCTACTAGAGTTTCCAGTAAAGATGTCTATCTTTTAGCTACCCATGCTACTGAGAATGTCTTTAAATCCTATGTTTTTACACTTGGGTAGAGGGAAAAGAGCTCTGGATTTGGATTCAGAAGATCTTGGAGGTTAAATCCTGGTTTCAGTACCTGTCAAAAGTGTGACGTTGACAGATTGGGAAAAGGGGTAATCAGAAGCAAATACTTCTGAGGAGGGACAGGGTCAAAAGAAAGAACAGAATAAATGGGGGGAGGGCAGGATAGGATTAAGGGAAATAGAGTTAGCTTTTCACAGCATGTCTACTATGGAAGTGTTTTGCATAACTGCACATATATAACCTATATTTAGTTGCTTGCCTTATCAATGAGGGTGGGTGGGGAGGGAGGAAGGGAGAAAATTTGGAACCCAAAGTTTTAAAACACATGTTTAAAAAAAAATGTTTTCACATGCAACTGGGAAATAAGAAATACAGGAAATGGGGTACAGAAATCCATCCTGCCCTACAGGAAAATTGAAGGGGAAGGAAATAAGAGAAGGGAGAGAGAGATAGAAAGGAAGGCAGACTAGGGGAAGGGGTATTCAGAATGCATGCCATCTTGGGTGGGGGGAGGGGAGAGATGGGGTGAAAATTTGGAACTCAAAATCTTGTGGAAGTAAATGCTGAAAACAAAAATAAATTTTAAAAATTACCATAAAAAAAAGTGTGACCTTGAGCAAACCTCAATTTCCTAATTTGTAAAACAAAGAGGATTAACCTAGATGACCACTTAGGTCCTTTCCAACTCTAAAATCCTATGAAGAGATGACTATGAATAAGAAAAATATGTATGTTGGTATAGTAAGTAGAGGGTTAGACTTGGCATCAAGACCTGGATTTGAATCCTGCCTCAGCCAGCTATGCAACCCTGGTAAAGTGACTTGACCTCTGTAGGACCTCATTTCTTTATCTGTAAAATGGGGATAATAATAGTACCTAACTCACAGAATTGCTTTGCAATATGAGGGACCAGTTGAGATTATGTAAAAGCAACTCGTAGTGGACGCAATCACGCAATCAGCATGGTTTCATGATTTTCTCTAGTTTCATTCAGCAGCAGGTGAGGAAGAATGAAGAGAGCAGGTGGTAGGAGTAATCCAAGGTTAGAGATTATAAAGGCACGACGAGTGACAGACAGGATAGTGGGAAAGAGATTCAAGTGTTTCCACACTTAAGGGTAGTACAGAGTTAAAGTTGTTCAACACAGGGTGACAACAGGGAAGGAAAGAGTGTAGTCAGTGCAGGAGTGATGGCCTGGGAAAGAACCAAGGGATAGAGGTACTAGAGGTCACAGGAAGGATAAAGAATAGGGTCCAGGCTCATAAGTCACTGGAAAAATGTAATGATAGCAGATTACGAACAGGTAGAGGACTTTCAGAATTCACGAGCATGGGACTAATATTTCTCCTAACAGGCCTATATACTATTTAATAAATGAATAAATACTTAATTCCAATATCCAGAATCTTCTTAGTATGTAAGGAAACAATTATATGTAGCAATGAATTGCATTACTGACACCACCTTTCTTAATGGATTTGAAAGGAAAATTAACAATACTAACCACTCCAGAGTTAAGCCAAGTCTTAAGAGATAATTCAATGACAGATATCTTTTACAGTTAAAATACAAATTACTTGACATTCAATAGTGGTTTTTTTAACTCAGAAAAGATGTGCACTAAGAAGCTGATTTGAAATACCATTCTTAAAAAGGATTGAAATTAAGATGGGAATACCAAATTAATGTACAAAATCACTTGTGGATAAAGAGTTAGCAGCTGTTTTCTAGTTAGAAATTTCTTTTTGAAATGCAAAATATCCACACTACCAGAAATTTCTCATCAAAGGAAGCATTATCCAATCCCTTTCAAATATAATCAAATAACTTATGAAAAACTGTACATTTTTCAAGTATTTTGCCAGAAACTTTGATTACCATAATCCACTCATATTTATTGGGAAAAAAAAAACTTTCATCATTATGACACAGTTTTCTTAAAAAGCTGCAATTTTATCATTGTGATTATGGTAATGATCTTTAGTACTAATAACCTAAACTAAACAAAAATATCAAAAGACTAGAATGAGGTCTTCCTAAAACATGGCAAAATTTCTGAGCAAGACAGATAAAGGTTTCTGTCAGCACAAAAATATTGTTTATTAAACTAATCTACTCTGAATATTCCTGATAACTATTATCCGAACAGGATGCGTGATTTCACTGGCAGGAGGAAACTTCCTCTCCTAAGGCAAGAAAGCATTTTCTCTGGACTTCCTCTCCTAAGGCAAGAAAGCATTTTCTCTGGACTCCTCTCATTTTCTCTGGACTCCTCTCCAAAGAAGATGCAGCTGAGGGACTGGCCCAGATTCACACACATATTATGTGTTAGAGGCAAAATCTGAGCCCCATCTTCCTAGCAAGCTTCTTAGCAGCTACAAAAGCCACCATATCACACCACCTCTCAAATATAGTTCAGATGCAACTAAAGAATTTCAGTGTGCAAACTAGAATTAGGTTTAAAATGGTAAACATTTCAGGAGAAAAATGGTCATTCCAAATGAACGTCTATACTAATGCTATTTCTACATACAATCCACATGAGGATCATTTGTTTGCCAAACAGATGCCTATAAATTCCTTTAAGAGGAAACCTTGATCTTCCTCCTTACTTAAGCTTAATCATTTGGAACATGAAACAAAATATGGCCAAAATTGTTCCTAAAATATTTTTTCCCATAATCTTTCTCTCATTACATAATATAAATATATTCTATTTAATCAGGCAGTGATGAAACTAGTTTTCAAAAAGCATCACCTCACCCAGATCCTACTTAGTCCTTAGAGTATGGACTGTTCCACATTCATTTGCCAATATTATTCCATTCTCTTATTATTCATCACCACTGAACTTCTCAGTACCCTAGGCAACTCTCTGAATGTATAATTGCATTAGTGGGGGGAGTTTCTCACATTGGTAAAGGAAGTTTCTTACACGTACAAAATTGTATCCAAAAAACGTACCAAAAAACCAAGAGCAATAGCATATTTCTCTTCAAATGTTCGCTTTTCTTGAAAAGGCAGAATTAAGAAAAAAATGTATTTCAGTCTCAAATGTCAAATACTAAAATAAAATGCATACAGAAAGGGCACATGATTCATAGAGGTTCATTATAGAGAATGTGATAAGCTAGTACTTACTCTTGCTTCATTCTGCTGGAGTTTCTCTTCCATACTTAAAGCTGTTGGTGAGTCCAATAGTGCAATCTAAAATTAAAATATAAATGAACATAATTATTAGTAAAAAGTAGTAAGGTATAGAACACATTTTTTCCTGGTGAATAAGAAAGGATAAACAATTTGTATAATGCAATAATATAGATACAACTGGAACAATGATCCCCCATGATCTCCTACTATAAATGTATTAATTGTTAAATTTACATGGCTAATGAGTTGCTTTATATTAATTCACTTGAATAATTCAGGACTATTTGTCAATCTTTAGATAATATTCATGTTGAAAACATATACAGGTGAATATATGCATAAATATACATATGTATACATACACAAACATATGCACATGTATATTTGTATACCCTTATCAAATCTGATACCTTTTAATGACTTTGCTTCTTAAAGAGCAATCAACTCTCAATAAAGCAAGGGAAGGAAATGTCAGATTCTATTGATAAATTGCTTAAAATACTATAATCATAAAATTTTTTAATTGAAAATGCTTCAAATTTGCATGCACATAGGACATAATTTTTATCACAGAAATTTAATTTTTAATTATAATCACTAAAATAAATAACCACAGGAAATCAAACTTTGTGTTGAAACTTAGGGTAACTAATATTCTCAATGAACCATGGTGATATTTGGAATACAATATTCTGGGAATACAAGACTGCCCACACTAAAAATAATATAGGAATTTATATGCTGTAATGGGCATTTAAGAACACCTGCCTATTTAATCAAGCATTACAAATTTAATTAATTTAGGTTAGGTCTGTATTGTCTCACACAACCATTTATAGCTTCATAATGAGATTACTATTCATTATAGTAGACCCTCATTATTATTATTACTATATATTAAGTTTATCAGAGGATCTGATTTTTATTAGAGCTTAAATCATATTTGGGAAAAATACAATAGAGTGAACCTCTCTCTGTCCACCCCTCCCTCCCACTTACCCTTCTGCAACAACAGCAATACTATATATACACACATAAGTTTAAACATATGTTTAAAGACTTAAGAACTTTGATCAACACAATAATCAAGTATAATAACAGAGTACCAATAATCCATCTCCTCACAAAAAGACAATAGACTCAATATGAAGAATTTGATACCCATTTTGGACATGGCTAATACAGGAATTTATTTTGTTTGTATTTTTATTACCTGGGTTTTGTTTTGTTTTTTGAAGGGGTAGTGGAGTGAAATGGTAGAGAATGAAAATAAATGCTTGTTAATTTTTTAAAAACAAAAAATAGGGGGAAATAATGGGGGGGGGGGAAGGTTTCTCAGTTTGGATTTGCTTAATGACCCTTGGTTTTAATGATACTCTTGGTTTTAAAGTATTTGTGGTCTTTTCCCTATCAGGAAAATGGAATCATATAATCAGGAAAATAAAACGTATCCTGAAAATCTGTCCAATAAAGCATGCACATATTGCCTTTTTAAAGAAATATTTTAAAGACAATAAAATGAATGCAGACAACACCCACAGCTGACTACCAGTAAATAATGATGATTACCTTGTTGACAAAATACAAAGAGAGTAGGTTTCTCCTTCATGCACTGCTGATCATCTCTATCCTTTCCAAATTAGGTCCTGAAATTAGCTGCCCAAATAATTGGTTTCACCCTGCAAACAGCACCATGGGTGTTTGGTTTTGAATGTCACTGATTCTAAGTGCTTTGATATCGAAGAAGGCTTCATATTACCCTTTGATATATAAACATGCACCATCCTAACTGATGTGGGAGGAAGGGAAATATCAGAATCAGAGAGACCATGAAGCATGCAGAGACATTCCATAACTGGTTCCAGTCCGAAAACCAACTGGTAAACGGCAATTGCTTTGATTGACTGCAATAATGGAAATGGCTCCAAAGGTGGAGAATAATCTGCAAGTACCAACTTTATAAGTTTTAAAAGGTCAGGAGAACAAGCCTCTGGAAAATTAGGAGCCTCCTGAGGATTCCACAAGTCCAAGTCTATACTATATTTTGCAGCCAGTCAAGAACTGGCGCCCAAGGAGAAAGGTGTGACCTTCAGAAACTAGTCCAGAGGTAGCTAAGGTGACAACGCATCTTGAAGTACAGTACTTCCTCTGTACATGAATATGTTCTATCTGTTGCCTCCAGGATAAGGTGATCACCTGAAATCTCATTTCCATGGTGATTTAACTCAATTTTTGATATACCTTCTCAGTTCCCTCAGTCACCTCTCTCCTTTGATCAGAGGGCTAGAGGACAGAGTACCAAACTCCTCCCAAAGCCTTCCTTTATAGAAGCCTACAATCTGAAATTTTCTTTCTCCTCAGGAGCTCTCCTTGGTTGGGACTCCATAGAAAAACATCATGGTCCTCCCCCCTGCTTTTCAGTTTCCTTTTTGTGTGTTGTCTTCACCCATTAGATTGTAAAACCTTTGAGGGCTAAGCACAGTGCCTGGCACATAGTTAAGTGCTTACTAAATGTTTACTGAACTGAAATGAATTGAAGAATTACCAAACTAAACTCCAGAGATAATCAGATGTAGTCTTTGAAATCTCTCTAGAAAGTCAAGATCTCTCTAGATATCAATTTAGAAATGCAGAATGAATATTCTGAAAAGATGGATTCCTTAGAACTTGGTCTCATAACATCACATAAACTTTCCACTGAAAATAACATGAAGTATTAATTAAAGCTTCCACCACACTGGTCTCACATGTGGCATTCAGTCTTCTGTCTCCCTTCCTGCCTTTACACAGGCTGTACACAAGGCCTTGAATACCTCACCTCTCACCTCAACCTCTTAGAATCTCTAGTTTCCTTCCATGCCATCTGTCTGTGCTTATCTGTGCACAAGTCTGCTCCTAGAGGACCAAGCCAGTTGCCTCCCTCTTTGTATCCCCAGGGTCTAGCACAATGACTACATATAGCAGGCTAATTCACTTTCTACAAAGATCAAATGGACATAGTAAATAGCTATGGCTCCTTATTCAGATCAGAACTGAGAGCCAAGACTTTCATGTTATGCGATTCTCAATCTCAACCAGTATATTTTACAGTCAATCATCTTCACTATATGAAAAGGTCTGAGCTTTACATCTCTTGTAGGGCAGTCTTGCTCAATATGAAGAGGAGTTGGGACTGAAAGCAGCAGGGATACAAGGGTGCTTGAACCCCTCTAATGAAGGGGAACCCAATACTCCTGGGGCAGCTAATTATTAAGAAGTTTCCCTTGGGTTTCAGTCTAACTTTGCAATTCTCACTCAGTTCCTACATGGCACTCAATCCCTCTTCTTGAAAGCAGTTATCATGTCCTCATGGAGTCTTCTCTTCAACAGACTAAATATCCCCAATTTCTTCAAATAATCTTTAAATGATGTGAAATCAGGCCTTTCCCCATCCTAGTTGTAATCAATTTCCAACAGTCTATGAAACATCAAATGATTCTGTGGATTCCATTTATTCAATCACTCACAAAACATCCAAGGAGATCCAAAAGTGGGTTATTAAATTCTTAACTGAAATCAACAAATGTGTGACATCATAAAGCCACAGTCATGTACAATTGCATCAACTTTTTTGGGGGGGGTGGTATAGACTTCTTATGTCACTGGAATAGAGAACTGACTTGAGCTAATAAAATTCCCTCAACTAATGCAGACCTTCCCCTGCTCAGCAATTTCTGGTCTTAAGGAGATGCCTAGGGCACTAAGAGTACTTCAAGTGACTTGCCCAGATTCATATAGCCAATATGTGTCTGAGGCAGATTTTTCTTTTTTCCAAAAGGTTTTTTTTTTTAGTTCTCAAATTTATTTCCTATTTCTCTCTGAAAATTTTCCTTGTCCATGCTCTGTCAGATATTTTCTCTCATTAGCGTCTCAGGTTTAAATTAAAATCCAAACAAAAAGAAAATGTTATAAGAATGTTCTCTATTGAAACTCATTTGGGTGTTACAAGTTTCTGTGAGGCAGATCTTCTTGATGATGAGGCCAACACTCAATACATCGGACCATACAGCCTTTATCAATTCCATAAAAAATTTAAAACATCAACATGTCTACCTCGCTGGCTAGATCTGTAATTGAATAAACTACCAGAGGGAAATTCAGTCAGGCATAAAGAACCAGAATGGGTTATAAAAATTCTAAAAACATTTTTACAAAGAAATTACACATGACTAGGTAAGGCAAGATTCCTGGTCATTTCATGGTAATGGGGTCCATCAGTCAATAAACATTTATTAAATGCCAACTACATGTCAACCACTATGCTAAGCACTTAGAAACACAAAAAGAAACAAAAGATAGTCCCTGACCTCAAGAAGTTCATAATCTAATGGAGAAACAATCAAACAAATATGTACAAATAAGCTATATACAGGGAAAAAATAGGAAATAATTAAAAGAGGGAAGGTACTAGAATTAAAAGAGATTGATAAATACTTCCTGTAGAAATGGAATTTTAGTTGGGACTTAAAAGAAGCCAAAGATGCTGATAGGCAGAGATGGGGAGAGAGAACATTTCAGCCATGGGGGACAAATAGCAAAAATGCCTGTAGCCAAGAGATGGAGTGTCATGTTCATGGAAAAGCCAGGAGACCAGAGTCACTTGATCAACAAATAAAAAGCAGTGGGGAATAAGGTGTAAGAAGACTGGAAATGTAGGAGGAGATAAGTTATGAAGGACAAATGGAAGATTTTATATTTAATCCTGAAGGCAATCAGAAGACATTGGATTTTGTCGAGTATGTGGATTGACATGGCTGGGCCTGCATTTTACAAAATCACTTTGATGGCTGAATGGAGGATGGATTGGAGACACTTGAAGCAGGCTGACCCACCAGCAGGCTATTGTAATATAGTCCAATATAATCCTTCATCAGAGTGGGAGCAGTTTTAGAGGAGATAAGGGGGGCATATTTGAGAGATATTGCAAAGGTGAAACTGAAGACCTTGAGTATGGGAGATGAGAGACAGTGAGAGTCAAAGACAACAGTTAGGTTATGATCCTGAGGGATGAGGAGGAT